TCAATCTAGAAGAAAGATGTTTAATCCCTTGCATACTTCAGGTTCTCATAATAGAAGACTTCATTGCAATGACTTAGCTGATCAGTAACTTCTAACCTTTAATCTGGAAGTAAATGGATTTTCCAAACAAACAATAAAAGCCTTTTGTTATTGTGAGCTACTATGCCAACACCATTAATAAAGGTGCATATTATAAACAAAAAAAGACGTTTTTAGAGAGGAAATGTCTAACCTCTGAGCATGGGAAGGAGGAAGATCTTCAGCTCTTACGGAACGTAGTATATTTATATGCTTAGTAAAATACTGTTTTTACCCACCAGTCCTGCAATACCTTAAAGAAAGTGGTGTAGCACGTATTAATCCTAAACAGTGCCAGATAATACCTGAGGTAGCAGGCACATTTACATCTGCCATCTGATTTTTCGGCCTTTTTTTCAGCATTACCGCAGTACTAGAGGACCTTTCCCTGTGTTCAGGGAATGCAAACAGCTACATTATGGCTGCTGTCTCACAGTAGGAAAAGAAAAGAAGCTCTCAGAATAATTTTTCCGTACTCAAGCCAGCACATCTGTATATGACCAAGTGTAATTGTGCACAAGAGATGTGTAATTTACCCTCCTGGTGCGTACATTGTCCCAGTGTACAAAAATGAAATAACGTTACGTCTGAGTTTGTTTTTATATACTTCTAGTACAATTAGGAGGAGTTGAAAATGATAGTCATTTATTATGTACATAAAGAAACCTTTGTGTGTTATGACCCTACACACATACAAGGAATTTGGGTAACAGCTGTCTCTTGTCTTCTGATTTCAAAAGCAGAAATCAAGAAACGTAATTTTGCAATATCTTCCTTTTGAAAGAATAAAGATGCTTGATTTCTAGGTCATGACTTCTGATGCAGCCCAAACTGATAGTAGCTGAAAATGAATTTATAAAATGGTTTCACTGTAACTGTCACTGGACAATAAGTCTATATCTTATCATTAAAGAGAAAAAAAAAAATACGTTAATCACAGTAAGCACAGGACCCAGTACATAAAAGAATTGCTGTTTTAAGGGGAGAATGACGTGAGTCTACAGTGTGAGTGTTTGGGTTGCCAGTGTTTCCTCTGCAGCAGTTGAGCACGCCAAAGGCTGCTAAGGCATGGCTTGCCCATTTTATTCCTCCCAGAAATGTCAATGAACTTCCAGCTAAAAAGGAAGCCCACTAGATTAGATCTGTACTCTTTATGATGGTTATTCTTACATAAAACCTAATTCAGTGGCAACATTGCTTTAACACTTTAGGTTAGCTTATTCTGACATAGAGACTTTATTTGGTGAATAATGATGTCATAATTCCATGTCCAAGTAGCTGAAGTTTCAAAAACATACCAAATCCAGAAGGATCTAGAGGAAAGAAATTAATATATAAGAATATATAAAGTTGTCTCTGAATTATCTGTACATTTATATAATTTTAAAATAAATTTCTAGTTTTGTAATTTTATAATTTCTAGTAAATGAGCTGGATTCGTTGCTGACCTCCCAGAATACATTCATAGCAAAATTAAAGGAAGAATGTTGTATGTTGGCGAGGAAATTGGAACAAATGTCAGAAAAATACAGGTTAGTATATTTTTCTTATCCTGTCCCTTTTATTATTAAGACAAGCTTCCTTAATTTTTTTATTTGTATTTTAATTTTATTACTATTCGTCTTGACCCAGGTATTGCACATCTTCTCAATATAATACATGCCACTTGAGAAACATGGATGGATTTTTTTTTTTTCCAGGGTAGTTCTAATTTTCTGCTTTTCAGATTATGTTTCTGGCTATTACTTCAAATTTCTTAGATAATTCCAGTGTAAAAATTGCATATTCTTTTCTTCCTGATGTTCATATTCTTAATATGAAGAGTGGAAAATTAACAGCTACAATTTCAGTTTATCTGAAATTATATGAAAAATACTATTTAAAGTTCTCAAAACTGTGGTCTGTTTGTTTAATTATTTACTTAAAGCTCCATTCACGGTAGTACACACTAAATAATTATCTCTGAAATTGTCGTCAAAATTGCTTGTCATCGAAGCTCTGATTCTGCCACTGTTTATGTGGTGCTTCTGTTAAAATCAATAGCAGGTCTAAATACAAACCCCAAAAAAATTCAAGAATAGAACAAAACCTGGAAGCAATAACAAGTTTAAATAAATACAAAAGTATGAAGGTATCTATTTAAAGTTCTATAGGACAGGACTATCTTTTTATTTAAAAAAAAAAAGTTTGTAGTTCTGTACCAGTAAATCATTTGATTGTACATTTTTGAGTGTGAAAATAGTCTCTGAAACTTTCTGTAGGGTTCATATTTAGGGTAGTAAACAGGACTGAAGAGGTGAGTTGGCATTCTGCAACTTCTGTAAATTTCATGCAAAGTGAATTTGGTAATTAAGGATAAGATTCATCTCGCATGGCTTATATGCAGTAAGGAAAATACTCAGCAAGGTAGGATCCTTCTTCTGCTGGGCAGATTCAGTCATCCAGTTGAGGTAACATTACTCACACAGGGAGAGAGCTCATTTATCCCAGTACCCTGTTTCCAGGAATGGTCAAAGGGGAGTGATATAAGTAGATGACAGACAGATAAATAGATAAAAAATATATGATACTTCCTACAGGTACTGCCTCCACTGTCCATCCTACTTTCCACTGAATATAAAGTGTTGACTAGCTGTTAAGTGCCTGAAGTTGGGAGATGAATCCCATCCAGAGTGTTTGAGGAAGGAATGAGTACCATGAGGAAATGTAAGCAATCTTCACTTGCAAATGCTGTGATGGGTACTTGACAGAGAAGCAAATAGAATTTTTCTTCTGGAAAAGCAGAGCTCCTCTGCTAAAGTAATACAAAATCTAAATAGATTCAAATCATATTATTATTCCAGCAATAAAAATGCACACAGACTTTGTTGCTAGAGCTCACAGTCACAGACTAGTAACTGTAAAAGGATGAAGAAAAGACAGAAAACATACTGTGAAAACACATTATTCTCTGAAAATAAATACTAGAGATTGCCAAGTGTTTCCCCACCTAGCAGCATTAGCTGACTCTGTCAAGAACCTGAAAAAAAGGAGCCCTCTTGGATCTCCAGAAAGTAGTATATTTTGCACGAGAAATAGTATGGAAGAGTGTATGAAAGCAGTTCTGAGAAGTGGCCCTAAAATAGCTTGGGCTTGCCTTCATTGGAGTGGGAGCTGCTGCAATCAATAACAAGAATGGAGAAACAGGTAGGGGCAAAGAAATCTTGTGAAAATTGAGAACAGAAAGGTGGAACCAGAGATAGTGGAAAATGGTAAACTAATAGATGGCTTCAAAAAGTGATGTGATCAGGAGATCAGATGCAGAAAATTAACTTGGCAAAGTTTTAAATGCTTGATCAGTATATATCTTTCACTAACGTCTCTCTGAAAGGCAATCTTCGTGTTCAGTGTCACTGGATACAGTGTAAAGCCACAATTCTGGGACAGAATGCTGTAGCTTTGTCTCCTGAAAAAAAGTAATCATTTTGGAAGATTTTGTAACTTAGTTCTCAGGTACATTTATGACAGCAGATTATGAAGCAGCAGTGTGCCCTATTTGCACAGAAAAGATTTTTCCCATGTTTTTTTCCATGGTTTTGGCCTTATCATAAACTGAATTTTGGATCTTAATGTATATTTTCTTGCTATACTTCTAGAATCTTTGTACCTGAGTTTCAGTGGGGTTAAGAAATAACTGGTACTAGCAGTGCCATTATTTAATTGGTAAAACAGTCAAGCCTTTTTAGTAACAGATGCAAGAGTAAGTTTATATAAAATTTTAGGGTTTTGATAGTAAGGGGCCCATTTCTAGTAAGAGACATCTCAAATTTATCTGACAACTACATATTTGCATAATTTTGGTGGGATGCCTTTAAATTGCACATATACGTCAATGTTTAATACAGGTTTTCTGAGAAATCTAAACTGAAGTTTTCTTGGTTATATGTAAGCTGGAACCATTTTCGTGAGCTAGCCACTACACGGGATTAGAAAATCTTCAGAAAGACAATGTCAGACGAATTATAAACCCCTCAAGCTGTGCAGAAGGAAGACAGTGTCTGTGAAGGTTTTGGTATGCATAGGCATGTTTAAAAATATAGTCCTTTGTTGATTTCTTCTGTTATTTCTTTTTTTTTTTTTTTTCCCCTCTGATTGTCACTGTCTGAGTTTTTAGGTTGTAGATTAATGCTTAACACTACCCACTGTGTATTTGTGATTTGCGATTTGTAATTAAGGGGAACAATGGGAGTCCATTGGGTCTCGTTATATATAATGGTTAGTTTAATTTGTTTCACTTCTATCTTGTTAATTGTAAATTGATCATTAAGATTTGAATTCTAATCTGTCACCAGGGTTGTGAATATTGAAGCTAGAGCAATGATCCTGGTTTTAATCACTGATGATGAGAAACAAATTTTATAATTTTGGTACATATTGCAGTTCATATATTTTAACACTGTATTTTATGGTGTTATAAATATTGTTAAATGACTTTTAGTGTAGTTTTACTGTTTGGACTATAATGTATAAATTATATTACTGGTTTGGCAACAGTAGGCGTCCAACTGTGTGAGTTTAATTGAAGTAAAGAACACACACCCGGCTGAACTATTTTTCTGCATGTTTGGTTGACTGCAGTCATTGCACTCAATACCAGGAGTGAAATGTTTGTTGAAGGTAGACATATGAAGATGTGAAACAATCTGTCTGAAGGATCAGTCATTAAAATTGTATGCAACAGTACTATGTCAGCAGAAAACATTTTAGAGCTGGTATTTAATTACTATACAAGTGAACAATTAGTTTTAAGAGTAGGAAGAGGCAGTGTTTAAAAAGGACTCTAATTAAAAGGTAGTTCAGAGGAATAAAGGCAGCATTGCCACCTTTAGTGTTAAAAAACCAGCTCATCCTAAAAATACCGTAAGAATGACTTTGAGTTGTGACTATTTAACAGTTACTGGTTCTTTGCCGCCCATATTGGAACATTGTGGAGGAACCTGTTTTGTTTTGTTGTTTTTGCAAGACTTTTCCGGCAAGGATGGTAGACAAGAACTTAATTTCTTTTTAAATAGAAGTTGAGGCTTTCTTGGTAGTTAAATGGATCCAGAAGTATAGAGGGGGTTTTTTTGTAGTTGTCCTTGCCCTCCTCTCTAGTCATCATCAATTAATTTTAAAATAGTGATGAGTAAATGAGATTTGGAAAAAATCTGTTACCCATCTACAGGCATGCATTTTACATTTTCATTTTCATGTGATGTTGCAGCTTTGTTCTGTGCAGTTTCAAAGTGATATTGATTTCGTACAGGTCTTTTGAGTCTATCGGATCTCGGAAGCCCACGCGGGTACATTAACATGACTGTATGACTTTTGGGGCCAGCCTGAGTCTGCAGAAGTGCAACTCCATGCGGAGTTCAGCTCAAATGGCAGCACTCCAAATGTCTGCATGCTTCAGTTTCTTCAAAGTCTGCCCTGCGACGCCTTACTACTCAGTCAGTTGGACCCAGAGTAGCTCTTAGGGAGCAACATCAGCGTGTCCATGTCTTTTACTTGTTATGGATCCATCGGAGGTAGTGCTTAATGCATAGATTTTTCAAACTTATTTCTGTCCCCGGGATTACATGTGGGTTGTCTCTGAGTTCAGGACTGTGTACTTTGGCACCTGCCCCTCTCCCTCTCCCGTCCCTGCTGTGACAGCTTGGGAGCAGAATGATTCAGAAGCACTTATGCAGACTCAGTCCTGCCCCTGGCTGGGTGGAATTGCTGCTTCTGGTTTAAATGTGCTGTCATGTTCAGTACAGTAGTTCAGGCTTATTACAGTTATGGTTAGGTTTGTGTTTGGTTTTGGACCCAACAATATTGAAGTTATTTAAATGTCACATAGATTTAACTGTTCTATCCTAATCTTTAGCAAGGGAGGTGACTGAGTGGTATATTTAAAGATACAGAGGGAATCTTTGTCAGGAGGCAGTGAAGACTTGGAGTGCACTCTTGTATTGGGACCAGTGTTCTCTCTTTAATGCCAACACACGTGAAGCTTTTAACGTTGACCTTAATAGGCATTCTGCCCTTCATATGTGCTGTCCTTCAAAATTTCAATGTGGTGAAATACTTGAATCTGGGTGGTCAGGCTCTTAGATATTTACTTGGAAGGCACACACGTTATGTAAATACTCTTTTAACTGCAATTGATGGGGTTTTTTTGCTGAGTTCAACTGTAATTACAAAAGATGGTTTAGGAGAAGAGAACACAAGTAACATATTTCAAAGCATCAGGCATTTAGAGCTGTATTTTAGAGATTAGAGACCATGCTACTCATGTTTTCAATGAATTCAGTACTTTCTTTTGTTTCATTAATTGTATTTTTCAGTAGCATTTTGGTTTTGGTTGATTTGAATCCTTTGGTCTTTGCAGAAAGACTTTGGACACCTTCAAATGTGCTGGAAATGATAAAGTCCTCTTAAAGCTTTGAGGTTTTTATCACCTTGAAAGTTGTTTCTGATGTTTCCATGAATGAGATAGCCACATATAAATAGAGAAAAAGAAGCAGGATCCCTCAGTTGGGAAACCCTACAAACAGGATAATTTACAGTATTCCCACATGGCAAATGGTGTTCTTGCATTTTGCTGGCAAGGAATACAATCTTGAGTTTAGTCCCTGTTACCACTCGGTTGGGCTTTATTACGTCAGGTCTCTGTTGAGTTGCTCTACAGGGGGACCTTTTGCTTTTATGCACTGAATGTCTGTCTTACAATGCCAATGTGAAGTACACACTGCATTCATACTGTGTGATAACAATTGGTCCAACTGACAATGCTTTGTTAATGCTGACATTTAAGTTACCAGTATTTCTGTTAAATAATCAGTGTAAAAATTTGACTTCAATTACCTTCCTGTAACATCCTGCCCACTGTAACGTACCCGTCCAGGAAATTCTTATGCATTTAAGTTAGAAGTACAAATACATCAGTCCAGTTCTGATGTATTTGTCAGTGATGTTCCTTAATAGAGTTGTAACTCTAAATTAAATTACATATAGTCTTCCAAAGTTTCCCATGCTAAGTTTTTAGATTCACAGATGATATCATGTATTGTTCTCTATTTAAACATGAAAAGATTATGTTGTCATTTCCAGATTTGACTTGTCAGTGTAACAACATGTTTTTGAGGGAGAGTATTCCTTCCCCTCTGCACTTTGTTGTATTTTTCGGAATGTCAGTTGTTGTTGCATTCTGTAACAGCCAGGAAGGTAAAGTATCTTTCTGCTGTAACTGCAGCATATTTAAGTAAGTTTATGATTTAAAGACATATCTGAAGCTTTTTAACCTCAAGATCTGGAGTGGCAGATGCCATAAAACAAATTTGCTTGCTTTTGATTCTTACTTTCTGATGGTATAGCAGATTCTGACATGTTCTCATTAACCTTTTCCAAAGAGTTAAACTGTACAAGTGCATAATGTATATTTTATCACAATTTAATCTGAGGTGTTTTCTTGATATTAAGAAACAGCTCATGCCTGTTTCTCCATGGGCTGATGGTTAGAGATGTAGCAAGTAGCAGTCCCAGGTCATTCATGGATCTGGTGTCTCTGCTCACCCGTGAAGAATAAGAATTGCTAGAAGTGACTAATTTCCTTAAAGACTGTGCCGAGTTTTATGTAGAGTAGGGTGTGTCTGTATGATTTGTGCCTTGTTTCTTAAGGTTTTATTTATTTTCCTCTTAATAAGTTCTGTTCAGTTGTTTGGTTTGTTTGTTTGTTTTTTTTTTAAAAATCTGTGGAACAGTATTTTGGGCATATTAGGTTAATAAAGTTTCTAAACCAGTACCACTATTGAGAGTTCAACCTGTGCAGTGCAGCAAAGGTTGAACAAGTTTTTAGTAGCCATCTTTTAAACCAGATGTTATCTTTTACTAATGAAGAACTGGAAATATGTTTTCAAAATGCTGGCCAAATTCTTGCTTAACAAGTATGAATTTACATTTATTGATCTTACTTAACATCAATGCATAATGCCAAATGACATGCCTGTTTAAATTAGGCTGAAATTAGCATAGCCAACCTATGACTGAGTGATTGCCACTGGCATATTTACAAGATACCCTTCAGCATCATGTTCTTTTGTCTTAAGATTATTTTAAACAGTGTTTTGTTTCTGTAAGTTCTAGTAATAGCCTGTTTATGCATTATATATACATGTATGAAATTTTATAAATGCTGAAGCTACATATTGATGGCACGCTGCAGGATGAAATCTGACAACATCCATCATCACTGTGTTTTACTTCTGTAGATCTGAAGTCAACCAGCTTAGTCAGGAAAAAGAGTATCTTCATGGCAGATTGGAGAAGATGCAGAAAAGGAATGATGAATTGGACCAACAATGTATCCAGCATGGGAGAATGCATGAGAGGATGAAGTTGAGGTAGGAGGTCCTGTTAATCTCTCAGTATGTGGTATGCTCTACTGTACTTGTTGTGTTGTGTAAACATAAAAATGACACCAGGTTGTTCGAAAGTAATATTATTCCCTTATGAAAATGATCACCCCTTCCCCCTCCTCAAGCATTCTGTCAAGTTTTTTTTGTAACATCTTTTGCTTGTGCCATTTTGGATAAATAAAAGGAAAGCTTGAACAACATAGTCTTCCAAAGAATTTAAGCCTGGTACATATGTGTGTGGGTTGCTTCGGCTGTTTTCTGCTCTAACTTGGATGAATTGTCTTACCATATAAAAAAAGTGGAGGGGGGGTGAAGGAGAGAGGAGCTTATTCAGTAATGTGAATGTAGAGTACAGATGTGTATTCCGTTATGCCATGTAACAGGTGTATTTTTGGGGTTTACCATCTTGCCTTTCTCAGTAATACTTAAATTGTATAAATGGACAAACCTTACTGAAGATCTTAGTAACCAGAGAACTATTAACAGCTTCCAGGCACCACTAGCCTTTCCAGAGAAGTAGTGACTACCTCTGGGAGAGCTGGGAGCAGCTGCAGCAACACTAGTGTGGAATATATCCGCCAATAACAACTGTCTGTTTGGTCAGAGTTTCCAGACTGATAATGCCTTGTGCTGTGATTTGGATTAGATGTCCTTAAAGATCACTATGGAGACTCTTCTTTTTGGTACCAGAAAGTTAATCTACAGTCTCTTGTTCTGTTTTCTACTCCACATTCAGTGTAGCAGGCAGTAGAAAGGGCTTAGGCATGGTTGGGGAGGTAGAGGAGAAAGTAGGGAGATGGCAACCCTGCAGACCCAGTCAGCCAGGCTACCTCGTTTCTTGCAAGCTCTCCATGCATTTTTTCAGTCATCCAGACGCCCTTCTTTCCTCTTCCTTTTCAGATTTCTGTCTATACCTCTTCCTGTTCTTTTGTAACCCAGGATTGTCATCATATTTTATAGCTCAGAGAACAAAGAAGTTCAAAATGCTGCAACTGTGTCCCTAATCTATGTGACCACATAATCTTTCCATTTATCTCACCTTCCTTTTGCTTTCTTTACTTGTGGTGGATTCTTAGCCTATGGGGAACATGCACTGAGGACTCAGGGTTACTTTCATGGGGAAAATAATTTTTTATTTTTTTTTAATCTCCTAGCTATTCTTCTGTAGAATTATTAGTATCTAGTTGAATTTAAGACTGCTATCTAAGTTTTTAGGACAACCTTTTCCCTGTCAGAACCAAATAAAATAGATGTACTGGAAAATGTTGCTCTTTCTCTGCTGCAGCAGCAATGATTATACACTAGAAAAGACTGAAAGCATTAATCCAGAACAGAGAAATGATTTGAAAGCAGAGTGGTCATGCTGCAGGCAGTGTCTTACCTTCTGCTGCTGTTTTGCTGACAACAAGGAGAGAAAACAGGACAGTGATAGCATTTGTCTCATTTCATATTTTAGAATATGTAAATATGGCAGAGATTATCAGATATTTGAATCATGAGCGGTATACTTTACCGGCATTTTAAGAGGGGACTCTTTTAACATATTTTTAATGATAATCCTGCACTACATTCATTTAAAATCCAGGTAATGAGTGACAAGGCTCATAAAATGAACTACTTTAAAAATTCAGAGCAATCTAATTTTACTTCCCATGTGAAAACTGTAATAAGTTTTTCAGTATCAGTTCCCAAATGCTATAAATTGGCTGTGAAGTACTCAGATCTAAGTGAAGGAAAGCAGAAAGTATAACTACTAGAACAAATAAATCTCCCAGTTCCTTATATTTATGTTGAAGGACTTCCACCAAATAAAAATAGTGATTTTTCTCTTCTGATTTTGAAAATAGAGATCTGACTATGCTATTCAGTAAAGGTAGAAGAACAAATAATAATAATAATGTGTTCTGTCTCAGATTTTCATCCATCACTCAGATACTAATAATCACAGCAAAATAATGTTAAAGATAATTACTTCTTAACACAGTATGTTTCCCCTGTGTATGCAGCTACACAATGCTGTAAAGTGGGTTTCTACCTAATTTTCTGGCTGTTATCTTTCTGACTCTCTTTAGAAAGTTTCTTGTATCAAAATGATTTTGACTTAACTTGAGACCTAGTATTTGCATTTGAATAATAAGGAATTGTGGTATTTGTTTAAGAAGAAATCTCTGTCACTACTTCTCCTAGGAGAATGACAGGCCCTGATGTAACTATTTTGTGGAAGGAGCAAGTTCTAATTGATTAGATGGAATTTTTTGGAGCGACAAGGTTTTAGCAGTTGTGATAGTTGCATTCCTGAAAGTGAACAAGATAACTCTTTCTCTGCCATTCCTATCTTTCTGTCTGAATATGTGCTGCAAGCAAATACTTCTGTGTGCAAAATGCTACAAGCAGGTTTTAAAGAAAGAGATTACTTTAAACTGCAGTCATTAAAGATGATTTTGAATCTGCCTTTTCAATGTAATGGAAATATTCGTCCCTTTCAGTGTGTTTTTGCTCAGTGAAATACAGTATTAAAAGAAGTAGATGCCCATCTTAAATGATACAGTTGATGCATGCTATTGGGGCAAACTTGAACTGAAAGATGTACAGTTTGCAGAAGTAGGGTTACATGTTGAGACTGCAGTGGAGCTTATGAAGGTATGTTTGTTTAATGTTGTTAATCTAGCAACACTGTGGATCTTTTCTTTAGAAACATGTATTTTTTTTACACTAGTTTATTATTGTTTTCATCTTTTGGAGCTATGTATTTTTCATTTTAGAACATTGATTTGTTTAGATAAGTAAATTATTTCAAAAGTATTAATTATCATCACATAGTGTCACTGATATGCTACTGAAAGTGAGCTAGTCAGCATGTGTGACTTTATGGATCTGAATCTTGGAGAAATCAATTCTTCTCTGTTATGTGACAAAGAGCACGTTGGTATAAATTTTCAACCTCAAAGCAAATTTTGTTATTAAATTCTTCACATTCCCATGCTGTAGATATGTGTCCATAGTAGAAATTAGCAGGTAGCAGAAAGTATAGAATTTCTTATGAGGCAGCTATAAAGATAGAGACCTAGCCAAGAATAAAAAGAATATGTAGCAAAAAGAAAATGTTAAACTACCTTTCTATTTTCCTTCTGTGCTTCACTCCACAAAAGAAGAAATACATTCCACAGGAAGACAAATCCGAAATCAAATTAATGGAACAACTGTATAAATAATTTTTATTCGTTCTATCCTTTTATCTATTTTCAAACTGAATTCTAAGGCATGCATTTTCACCTCTGTAGTTAGACCAGTTCTGTAAATGCAGATCTGCTTTCTCACAAGCTCTATTCTCTTCC